AATAATAATAAAATAAATAATAAAATACAATATCGGAATAATAAACTAATAAAATAATAAACTGTTCTATAACAATGCCTTGTATTGGGAAATACAATAGATATTGCAAACATGAGAGCCAATTCTCGATCAGTTATAATTGTTGCTATGTATGAATCACCTGTAACAATCATCAGCGCCCTATGTAACTGCTGCAATACCCAACAATAAAAATTCTTTGTTTCGGCATATACAAGTGCGAAAGCTAAAGGATATGTTGACCCGAATTGATCAATACCGCAAACAACAATCAATAGCATTGAAAATCTATTAATTAAAAAAAAAAAAGATATTAATTAATTAAATAATAAATTAGAAATATTATCACGTATGGGCACATATAGTTCACTAAAATATTAATAAACTAGTATTGAATAAGTACTCTCTCGCAGTAAGACAAAAAGTCAAAAGTCGAAGTAAAAACAAACAAAAATTAAATAAATAAATTATATTAAATAAAATAAATAAATAATTAAATTAATTAATTAAATTAATTAAACAAATAAAATAAAATAAATATATAAATAAAAGGTTTATATAATTTAGTGCATATGCGTTGTAATGCACCCACCTGATCGACCAATCAGATCGTAAGATCAGGTGTAATGTGAAATCGAAAAAAATAGCAATATTTTGAAAAAATCGCTTGTAACTCATAATTTTGCTTATGAAACCATCTTTTGCGTTCTAACAAAAAAATTCCTTGCAAAATTTTGGGTATAACCAATATTTACTTACAATCTAACCTAATCCTACATTCAGGCTAACCCTTACCCTAAATTAATACGTTGTTGGTTTGTTTTGATTTCAAGTTACACCAGATCTTATGGAGTGTGTCACAACGCACTCGCACCAAATGATAAAAATCTAAATAAAATATATAAAAAAACCTGTTCGTTCTATAAGTCGCATCGATAATTAAGACATCTTTTGCTACTACAAACTCAGAAGCCGCACTTCGATATGTCCAGAAGATTGCTTAAATAAAAGATCTATCTTGATCACGCACATCATCATATGTGTACTTTGTTGCTATACTTGCTATGATGTTTTCATCATTTTGCAATATTCTAAGCAATATCTCAATTTCATGTAGCCTTTGCAACTTTTGCTGATGTTGACGACTCACAGCATTATAAATATTATGTTTATGTACATACTTCGAACTTATAGAGGTTAGAACAACATATATATCCTTTGTTCGAAGTCCAGTATCATGAAGCTTCTCAATTGTG